TATATAAAAGCTCTGCAGCACGCACATAATAAAAAGCAACAGGTTATTGTAGAATTGTTTGAGGATGGCTCACTAATGACAAGGAATAGTAGTTAAGTAGCATCAGAACATTACCACAGGCCAAGCAAACAGACAGGTTTAGAAAGCACTGCACTAGTATAATAAAACATTTACTTTTCAGTACTTATGAACATTTATTTGGTTCTCTCGTGTTTCTCCCTATGTTATTCTGAGATGCAGTGATAAGAGCACAATGTCAAACCTGTCAGGTATCCTGTCAGAACATTTGCTCAACTCAAATTTGTAATGCATTTAATAAACTAGCTTAGGAAGGTTCCTAATTGAGTAAAAAGAACTGTAAGTGTAAGTGGCCACCATGATGAGAGCTGCCCTAATAATCTAAGTGAAAAATTTACTTCAAAGTTTTCTATCTTATCTCATTTGGCAGACAATCTTTTTTGAAAGGAAAGGAGAAAATGCCGTCTCACAGTTCATTGCAACATTTAAAGTGATACAACATTGTAGCCGCACCTGGGCACACACCCTTACATACAAAAGGCAGCTGGTTCATTCTTGCGACATGGTCCTGAACTGATGGAAATCCTCACATTTGTATTTCCGTAGTCAAACCAGCCTCCCCTAAATTACCTGATTTGTTCTGTCACATACTGTATCTGTCCACTCAGGACTCGTGTTGCATAACAAGTACATTGAACAATTGACATCATACTGGAAGTTGATTAGAATAAAAAGGAACAACACGTGTTTCGATGTCCCTAGGAACGGACACGAACGGCTCTCCAGGTTGCTAAACTCTTGTTTACGGTAAATCGGAAATGACATCAACCTGTCTATGTAGGGGTTTTCCGCATTTCAGAGTCGAAGTGAGTTCCTCCAACAGCCTACACACCTAGGGACATATTTGCGAAAAGCAGAATGGGGACACGTCCTTTGGAAAAACGGGGATCTATGTGGACATCTGTCAGTCACGGAGCAACAAGTAAGTATGTCCCGTTTCACACGCGACAAGTTGATGCAAACACTGTGTATGTTTGTGTCGATGGACATTGTGCAATCAATATGTGTGGCTGTTTCCGTATTTATATTTTATGGATCACAGGAATTTGCAAGCTTTCACCCTGCACTGTGTCACTCCTTAAAACTGCTGGGCTACTTGTAGTGTCAAATGTGGAACAGATGATGCAAATCTAAAATACATTAAACAGATGTATCTGAGATTATAATTATTTATGACTAAAACTAGTGGTACGCTAAGGTGCCCCGCAGTGATCATGGTGCAAATTGGTCCATATAATTATTTTGAGTTCTGGTCTAAAGGAGCAGTGTTGGTCCAGTTTACTGCCAGTTTAGGGAAACGGATACACGATATATGCATTGCTCATTTCTCTTTTCAAAAGGGAAAGCTGAGCAGTAAAGAACCCCAGCTGCCTGAGGTTGTGATACTGCAGTACTGCAGTCTGCAGCTATGTTTCTATATATGATTCTCTGGATATGGCTACAGTATGTGGTGTGGCTAGTCTTTTTAGTTTTTGAGAATCTAACTTGTTATCGTGAGCGCAGTGCGCACTGAATTCCACTTACCAAACATAAATAAACTGTGTTCACCTTCAAATTTCCATTTCCAAATAATGTCCCAGAGGGGAGGTTAGGATCCCACTAATAAGAAGTAACTGTATGCTGTAAGAATGCTGTAAACTAAGGTGACACTCCTGCGTAACACTGCGTGACAGATGCACTGGCACTGATAGAAGGATGAGGAAGAAATGTATGGAGGACAAAAAAGACTATAAATAAATTCATGAATAAATAAATAAAAAAATGTCTTAAATTTATTTTCACATTTATTTATTTCTGTATTTCTGTGTCTGTATGCTAATGAGAAAGGCGATCCTAACCTCAGTCTCATGCAGGATTGGTCACAGGAGTGTGATGATCCAGCTCTACTACTTCTGCTTGTCAATGTTAACTGTTGTGCAGTAGCTTTGCTATTTGCAGTGTTTTGCCAGTTCACACATAAAAAGAGTACAAAGTTCAGTTAATGCAGATGAAAAACATTTTTATTGGGATTATTTAGGTGGCAAATTTACGATCATGTCTTTAGATATTTATCGATGGTGTCGGATCATGTCCTGACTCATGTTGTACTGGGCACAAAATGTTGACCAGTCTTTTTTCATGATGTTTAAAATGCAGCCTCAGGGCCCGTGTGTGCGTGTGGTGTCTGGGAGCACACACACATTTTCTCTCACTCCTGGCATTTCACATGATGGCCTGATACAATGATGATTTAAAACAATTAACGTGAACGTGAGTGACATTCACTCAGTTTGCTAACTACACTACAGGGAAGATTGGGTAGGAATAGATTGCTTCTGTCTGGATCGCTCAGTTGACCAATCCTGCTCAAGACTGTGGTTAGGACGGAATGAATACATACAGAAATAAATAAATATGGAAATGTATTTATTTATTTAGTCCCTTATTTATTCATGCATTTATTTATTTATATATTTATTTATACTTAAGTCATTCCATAGCAACCAGTATGCGACTTTGAGGTTTTCCTGGCCCATGATGATGACTAATCAGCTGATATAGATGCTATCGTTCTGTGATCTTTGATCTTTGTGTTGAACTGAGTACAGTATTAAACAGACCGACTGATGGAATTGAATCATCCCTATACACACACTGTATAATAATAACTTTTCTATGTCTTGCCAATTTCATGATTTTAATATGTAATATATAATTTTATAGATTGAGGATAAAGCAGTTGTCTCTGAATTTAATGATGAAGAGGAGCATTTCTTGGCCTCCACCTTTAAATCTGACCACTTTTTTTTGTCCTCTGTGTCATATTCACTCTCAAAAACTGCATTAACAGCAGCAGCAACAACATACCAGTGCATTTTCTTTTATTAATGAGATCACTGCTGTGATAGAGTGGGGGAGGGCAGAAGCATTGGGGGCAGTGAGGGTGTGTGGAAGTCTGGGAGTGTGGTGGGGGGGACAGATTAGGGCTGGGCACTGAACCTGTTGAAGTACAGGTCGCCTCCTGGCTGTCTTGTCTCTCACCTTGAACCCAGTTATTTCCCTCTTTCCAGCCCACACATCCCTCACATTGTTCTGCTGGAGTTTGGCCTCCAGTTTCCTCCCCTCTTTGCACTCCCTCAGCTTTCCCCTCAGGTCATATTGTATGATCCTTAGCTCTTCTCTGTCCCCAGACCTGAAGGCTTTCTTCTTGTTGAGAAGAACTTTCAGCTCATTGGTGATCCAGGGCTTGTTGTTGGGAAAGCAGCGTACAGTCCTGGTCAGCAAGGTGGTTTGTTCACAGAAGTTAATGTATTCCGTGATACAGTCCGACATGCTGTTGATGTCCTCCCCATGTGGCTCACAGGGCACATCCCAGTCAGTGGACTCGAAGCAGTCCTGCAGTGCCTCAGTGGCCTACTGAGTCCACCTTCTCACATTCCTTGTGGATGCAGAATGCCGCTAGACAAGAGGGACATACTGGGGTGTCAGCAATACCAGTTTGTGGTCTGATCTGCCAAGTGGGGGCAGGGCAGTGGCACTGTTTGCATCCAGAGCATTTGCATACAGAAGGTCCAGTGTTTTACTGTCTCTTGTGGGGCAGTTAACATACTGATGAAATTAAGGCAAAGTTTTGTCCAGTGTGACATTGGGATGTTGCGTTTGAAGCTTTGCAACAGAGGAGTGAATGGTATCGCTAGCTACTGTTGGATCAGCTGATTTAAACAGCGATCTTATTCCCGAAGGACCTCACATTTCCCATGATGACCGCTGGAACTGAAGGTTTTTGTTTCCTCCTCTTCAGTCCGTGCTTAGTTCCAGCTCTGCATCCCCTGCGTCTCCCCTACACCTTCTTCGGAATTTCAGGTCTCTCACCAAGTTTAAACAGGTCTCAACAGGTCTCAACAGGTTTACTCTCAGACACAATCGTGGCACAATGTGCTGCAGAGATCCGCACATTGTAGCAGAGAATTGAGAAGACAGCGAGGCTAAAGAAATGACCTTGATGCTTTAAAAACTGAGTCCGATCCCAGACGGCACAAACTGGATTCACTGTGGTGGTCATGTCAGAAAACAATGCTCCCACTCCTCTCTGCATGGCTTGTCGTAACTAAGAGTGTGGAAAGTAGCAGAAAAACAAGGAAAAAAGTTGCAATCTATATAAGTTAATGAGTCAGTCATCATCATCATGTGACACAAAATATATGTGATCACTGAACACTTGTTTTCTCCTCATCGCATTCATCCCGAAGCATTATGCATGTCACGGCAGTATTTATATATTGGGGGCAATTGGACCGATTGCTTCACACATCAGTGGGATTCTGGGAAATAGAAGTTTGAAAGGGAATATTTTTTCTTAGTTTTGTGAGTGAGCTCCAGTGCGCTCTGTGCTCTCTGTGCACCCGATGGCACAGTCACGTTCACTGCAGCGATTTTACACACACTTGTCCTTGATGATACACCCACAGTCTTAGAAGATAAAAAAAATTAATGACTCAGCTCTACAACTCTGCTGTTTAATGGAATCTGAACGTAATTTGCTGTAAGTTGTTTTATATCCTTTTCAATTCAAAGATCATATGAAACAGTGTTGCCACGGGAGCACAAATAATGCTGCTGGTTTTAATGTGAAAGAGGAAGTGGATCAATAATCTGGCTTCAGTTCACAAAAAAAACAGACATGACATTGAACATGACCTCAGAGTTGCTTTGTCGACTATAACTCCAGACTTTGAGACTCTTGTGAGGACCAAAAAACATCCCCAGTTCTCCCATTAACTCCTCCAAACTCAGGTTTATGATGTCAGTAAGGTTGAAGTTAGTGCTGCTTAATTTTCTTCAAAGCACAATGTTTTTCAGTATTTACCAACTGATAAGGTAATCAGACGAAAAGTTAATTTTGTATACTTGAATGTTTTTGAATTGCACTTTTTGTTAAGTTTTAGAGTTTGTGGATAAAAACTGAAGAAACTGAATTTATTCCATAGTTGGTTGTCATATTTGCACTTTTTATTTTATTTTTCATTAATTCAGAATTAATGACTGAATAAACTTTAAGAGTACAGTTACTGAAGTGTTACTGAATGTTATGTTAAATCAATTTGAAAAGTAGAAAGTTTTCTTTGATTTGGGTCATTAAGCGGTGATGGTGGGTCCTGAAGCCAGACCAGTTGAGAATCATTGTTGTAGAGACAGCTAAATTACATTGTGGATCACCACAGCACTGACCCTGGGGCCTGTTCTATGAAACAGAATTTGAATGAACTTCAGGTTTAACTCTGGGTTTTCCGTTCTTTGAAGCTGCTTCACTTCTTACTTCACCATGGCAACTTATGTTGAATCAGATCAAAACCTTTCAGTAACCCTATACTGACCAATCAGAGCACTGGAAAACCAGAGTTATCGATCTGTAGAACCCTCACAGGGACAAAAGAGTTGTAAATTGAGAGATAAGGAAGAGCGGCAGATATTTTCATTGATGAGTGGAATCATTTTGCTCTTCCAGACTGGTCTTAAAACAGAGCTTCTAAAACACAGGGGGAGAGTCCCAGAAGAATTCCTGAAAATTCTTATGCTTCTTATCTATCAATGCACATCTTATGCATTTAATTAAAAATGATCCAAGCACTGTTCAGTCTTTCCTATGATTATATATTAACATTTCACTGAAACTGAGCTCAGCACTAATTACTTATTGATTACTTATCTTCTTTTTTCTCTGCTTTAGCAGCACAATCTGACATAACTGACAGTAATGCTGCGTTTTGCTCAATCAGCCTCTGTGAATTCTACTTTTCACCTGATTGGTAAACGTCTTGGTCCTGATGTGATCATATTTTATGAATTTAATGGAAACTTAATATTCTAAATTTATTTTTTAGTTATTTTATTTCATGCCCTAACCACAATAACATTATTGATCCAAATCAGTTTGTATTATTGAAGCTGGACTCAGTACACAGAACAGCAGTTGATGCTCCTGTTGTCATGAACACGCTGTTGTCATGAGTCCCAGCTTATGCTGCTACAGCTTAAAAGTGAGACGGAATGCAAAAAACAAACAAAAAAGAAAATAATACACATACCTCAGGATGAAATAGATGTGCCATACATGTGAAAATCCAAAGAAGATTTCAACTTGGAAAGACAGCATTTTTCAAGAGCTTTTGTTGATAACGCTGGAGAATCCACAGGAGAATTTTAATTTTAATTCCTTACTGCCTTTTGCATGCGATACTCAGATGCCACCCCTTGCCTGAATGCTCTGGAGATTTCTGTCGTGTTGTGAATTTGTCTGATCCCTGAGTCTCCTGCTGCATTCTTCTTACGTGAAAAACAAACTCCAGACAAAGTCTGGTCCCCATTGTGTGGCCATTTTCCAAAGTTCATGTCCGAAAATGGCTGATTTGTGGAGAGGGTGTGACGGGTCTTCGATAATGTTCATTGCCTTTTGAAAAAGGTCTTGGGCAGAAGGTAGAAAGACCCCATTAACTTTCTCTGGCCCTAGGGAGTGATGCTTGTGCAATTTTTCTCAGAAAGTGCAAGCTCTGCTGGGCCTATTTCACAATTCCAGTGGTTTTCCTGGACAAGGTGCGATAAGCTGCACACCAAGGAACTGAAAGGGATATTTTACTGAAAAATGACAATTCATTCATTATCTACTTGTCACTTTGCCGATAGAGGCGTGGGTGAAGTGCTTGAGTCCACAAAACACCTCTGGAGTCTCAAGTAAACTTTCAAGCAGCCGAATCCGATACAATTGAGGTAAATGGTGACCAAGACTTCTATAAACATTACATACCCTACAAGGTTAACAAAAAAGCCTTGCAGGGTGGTCAGGTGCAGATAAGTTTATTGGGGTCTTTCTACCTTCTGTCCAAGACCTTTTTCAAAAGGCAATGAACATTATCGAAGACCCGTCACACCCTCTCCACAAATCAGCCATTTTCGGACATGAACTTTGGAAAATGG